ATCTAATATGTTAAAATATATCAAAATTTTATTTATATTTTATTCTATTGTGTAGTTTCTTTAATTTTATGACAAAATTGTCTTTATTTTTTTATTATAGTATACTTTATGTTTTGACTGGAAGATTTATTACATCTTTATTTATTAAAGATGTCATAATTTAGTTTACAAATATAGGTTGTTTTTCAATTTTTTTTTAGTTTTTAACTCATTTGATCTTATATGTGTGTGTGTATTGATAGGAGAGGATCTATATTAAGAAAAATGATAGTAATTATTACACAATATTTTTTATTTATTTTTTACTTAAACATATTAAGAACTGTGATAGTAATCATTGTTCTTATAAAATATTTTTGTTTTAAATAAATATAAAAATTTAGAATAGATACAAAAGAAAACAAATAATAATTATAATATCTTTATCTTAATAATTTATATAATTTTGTTCTTTTAATATTAAATAAGTCACTAAAAATTACAAAATCATACTTAAATATAATATCGGGCCTAAAAAGAAAAAAGAAAAATTGTCACTTTAATTATGAGAAAATTTTAATTTATAAATAATAGGTATATAAATTTTTTTATCACAAAAATATACCTTTTTAAAAAATATTTTTTTTAATAAATAATATTATAAAATATTTTATTATCTCCACTTAACAAATTTTTAGATTTATCATGTCATTGTCTCGACTTGTATATATTAGACAACTTTGTTCGTATTGAAATGCAATTGAAAAACTCAATTCTTCTAAACCTTATATGTTAACAACAACTCTCGATTGACGCTTGCTCCATAACCACCAACATGTCTTCCATCAACGCCATTTCGCTCAATGAAGAATAATTTATGATTGCTCTCAACACATAGTCCTCCATCAAATTTAGTGGTTTCAATTATCCAACTTGAAAGGCCCAATTCAATGTCTTTCTTGTTGGTTATGACCAGATTCATTAAACAAGAGGGACTATCACTATTGACATTGTCAAGATCAACTACTCTTGCATGCCATTGTCTCCTTCATAGACACATGTTGTCACCATGCTTGGCAGCATAACTATACCCCGAAGCAAGCATGGAATATCCTACAAAATATTTTTGTGAGTAAAACAAAAGCATGCATCATATATCTTAAGGAGCATTTGTTGTGTTACACCAAGGGTACATAGTTCATATAGTGTATCTCCATGGCATCAAATCCATCTTGGATGAACTCTCTCTTATCATGTATTCACTAAAGATCAACTTGTTAATGTTCTTAAAAAACCTTTTACCATATTAAGATGCAAGTTCTGGATGACAACTTCATCTTGAAGAATACATGATAGTTACACTTTATCATTAATTCAAACATATATAAATCATTTATATTAATACGTATTTTGTTATTATTATTAATTGATTTACCGTAATCTTCTCAAATATATTAAAAAATATTATAATTGACTTTATATGAACATCTTTAATCCATGAATTATATATATATATATATATATATATATATATATGCGTGTGTACAATTTGTTCTTTAAAAAAAATTGTAAACACGAAACTTATTGACATTTGTGAATTATTGCAGTATGATTTAGAGATGTAAAACTTACATAATGCAAGTGTTACTCAATAAATAAAGTGAGAGAATCAACACATGGCCAGTTTATTTTCTATCTGATCCTGAAAATATAACAAAATTATATTTTTATTGGTAATGACTAATCTTCGCGGCTAAATCATATGTGCCCACTCCAGTATGATCATAAGAAGTTATTGTAAAATTTATTAGTTCTACACTAGAAATAAAATTAATGGAATTCAAATAAAGCTTGAAGCAGTTTTAGTGAGGAATGATCATGCATATACAATATGATGTGCCCAAATAAATTGACGTGTGGGAATTTTCAATTTTATGGAATGGTGGTTAAGATTCGATTAGACACACACATCATGGACCCAAAGTCACCATATATATGCGTCTTGTTATTCATGGTCCTTATAAACTTTTCAAATACGAAGAAAGCCAAAAGCAACGAAAACACCATTTTTATTCAGTTCACGTTACCAATCGTTCATAACTTCAGTGGAAGGTAAGCAACCACCTTATGGTATAGACAACGACAAATCTTGAGCAAAGTATTGAACTTCAATTTAATGTTCGCATGCATATGAAAAATAAAAGGTGAAAATTTATCAAAATTAAGTAATATTTTCCATTTCGATATACCTCTAAAGTGACTATGTGGCATTGTAGATATCCCGTGACTTAAAACACGTATCACTGTTAATTGATTGCATATAATTGCTAGTTTTTAAAATGAATGTGTTATAATTTATCTCTGAAATATATATATATATATATATATATATATATATATATATATATATTT